CATGTTTTCGCACCGTGAGCGATGTCATCAATGTAAGAACTGCGCCCAAGTACTGAACCGATGTGTGATGGCATAGGGATATTCCTTTGGAAAATCGTCATCAGATACGTGAGTCCCTTCACCTCGTCGTTCAGACAGCTCCTTTCAGATTCTTGGTTATCTGTAGGATTCAGACCTAGGAATTCCAAGACGTCTTGATCGGCCTCTGCTTCCTCTTCTGGAGGCAGTCTCACAAACCCCATAGACAATTGTTGATAACCGATTGGTATATCAGTGGCGCGTTCTTGAGTCCGAATGACATGCGGGTTCATTGGAAATGTCCGAACGGACAGACGAACGCCGATATCAGCTTCGCCCTTTCAGACATCTTGATCGCCCAAAAGCCGCTCGCCATATCCAGGTTCATAAACCACATGACAGCCTCGAACCCAACCAGTAGATCATCTATTAGGGGTAATTGGACAATGTAATGAATCCATTGACAATTCGGTAATCGACACACATTCGGATATCCACACCATTTTTCTTGAGGACAATCACAATAGGTGATGCCCATGGTGATTCTGAGTGTTCGATGAGTCGGGTTTCCAAAAGCTTCTTCAGCAGTTCATACACTTTGATCGATAAATGTGGAGCGACCGATCGGGGGCGCTGAGCGACTGGGTTCGCCTCTCCAACATCCAAATCACAGATGACACCCCGCGCCGGAGCTGGAACCGCATTCCCGTCTCCCAGAAAGATGGCTCGATGATACTTCAGAATCCCTCTCAATCTTTGCTCGTCTTCTGGGGTACTCATCCCAGATTCACCAACGTCGGTCGAATCGATATCACATTTCGGGGATAATTCTTCGATATCCGGAAGCAACGCAAGTTGTTCTCGGAGTTGTGATAATGTCTCACTCCCTTCATGAATATACACTGCCGGTTCGAGGTCTAATTCTTCAGCACTTATTCGGATGACACGCTCGTACTCTAGCTCGAGCTGCTGAACTGGCGTGCAAGCCATCACTGACACTGGCAAGTCCGAAAAAACATCATCTTCGGGTTCCACTGTTGGGATATCTTCCAAGCTAACTTCTGGAAAACCTTCTTCGACACTAATCGAGTCGAAAAATCCATCGTCATCGGAGTCCTGGTCATCTAGCACTCCCTCAACCTCACCTATCGGAACATCCGTTGTTTCATCTCCAACTTCCGAAATCTCGCTCACCTCAGGTACTGTCGTCGTCACTACTGGCGTCTTCATTGACAATCGTTCACCTACCTCAACCGCTTCATCATACACTTCACTTGGGACTATCTGAACGCTTCCTCGCAACAGGGCGATGGACGAACCATCATCTTAGTCGGCCACGGATAGTTCGACGTTTGGACGGCCGGTGGTTCCATCTTCTGAAGGTCGTCTAGACGTTGAGACTCTCGAGCCTGGGCTTTGGTAGATATAGTATTCTCATAAATGAGAGTCTGCCACTCCCTATATCTTCGAGTACCAACGTGTACATAACGTCCCGCTCTCGGGAAGAACCCGTTTTCGACAATTTGGGCAACCTCGGTCCGTCAGTCGATAGTGACAATGCGATCGGAAATGTTAACTACCTTAACAGCAGCGGGAACCTTCCAAGCGTATAACACCTGAGT